GGCTGGGGAATTCTGGGAGTTGAAGTCCACCCATCTTAAAGTTGCTAAGGTTGAGGAACCCCGCTCTAAGCAACAGTGATCTGAGTAAAGCAAGTACATTTGATGAGTCTATATAAATGTATATTTGTGATAACATTCTCAGCAGTCCAAGCTGCTAACTCTCATGAACCGGGTTGCATTATGCAAAGTATCTGCAGTCCCCAGGAAACTGGAACCGAGGTTGATTATCTGTAATAGTCTCAGCAGCCATTGTGAGTATGTGATCCCTCTTGCCAGCTTAGTCTTTGAGGACTGTGTTGTGGCTAAGGAGAAAAAGGAATGCAGTGTAATTATATTGTGACTACATTAGCAAAATGTACCCAAACCCTCTAATGTTTGTTGTTTTTACTACAGAAGGATAACAAAAACCTCTGCCTACTTTGGAAGGAGAGGTGGGAGGTATCCTAGTACTTGAGCTTCTGTTCTGAAAAATAAGAAATACTGTGATTAATCTACGCACTCTCTTTCTTCCCTCCTACTCTCCAGGGAGCAAGCCAGTACGACGCAGAGTCAGTAACAAAATGCTGGCAATACCAGCTGGTACTGGACGTTCCCCGCTTAGTGTCCTTCACGATGACAATTCTCCAATTTCCCTGGCTTCTCATCAGGTAACAGATCGTATGGGAAGAGAATTGTTATTATTCCACTCAGGACTCACCCAAATCTCTGCTTTATTTAAGGTGCTTTTAGCAAGTTATCATTTTTTCCTGAAAAGCAAGGCATTTGGAAAAGTGGTAGAGTCAAATTTAATGTAAGCAGGATGGGTTGCTTGGTACTTTCTCATCCTGTTTTGCCTTCCCAACTTGGTTCTATCTTAATGATGTCTGCTTTGTTGCCAGTGCCTTTCAGAGAATTACTTTCAACATCGGTTCTTCAGGTGTGACCAAACTTTTCAGATCAAGAACTATATTCAGATTTGTAGAATATTAAAGAAATAGTGAGTAGAGATAGTAGATGTGCTCAGAATAAATTAGTTTTCTTGTCATTTAGAGTAAATAAATTTATCTCCTAGCTTTGTAAGAAGTTGATTAGCCTTTCCAACTCACCTTATCTTCCCTTTAAAATAAATAAATGGCAATTAATTAATAAAAATATTCTGTTTGTGAGTCTCTTGGGCTGTGTAATTGATTATTTGTCAGAGTGAAGTTCTTTTTCCAATCAATCTTCATTGTGTTAAAGAACAAAGTAAAATCCATTTTTAGCATGCAATAAAATCTCGCATGTCAGTTTCTTGAGAAAACCAAAAGGATGTATATGTACATGTTTTTACACCTGTATTCTTGATTTGCGCCTTGATGGGCATTTTTGTTGCACAGATGTAATTTAAAATTTGTAACAATTATCTGTTCCAATGGGTGGCTGCACTTGAAAGTTGAGTTTCATGTATTGGGTGAAGTCAGCCCATGAGTTTCCTCTGCATTGTGCAGATTCAGGAAACTTGAGTAAATCAAGTTAATCATATTGTGAAATTTACAGCCTGTAAGTCTGGCTGCACTCAGAACAGTCAAATATATTAGTGTTTCTTGAACCTAACAAGACACTTTTTTTTCCAGAGTAAAAGGGCTTCATCAGTGACAGACAATCAAGGAGAGCCAAAGGATGGAACCTTAAGCTCTGGATTAAACTTTACAGCAGGTAGCTGTAGCTGGGATCCCATGAATAAGGAGAATCGACAGTGTCGTTGGGTGGAAAATTAGCTTCAGGCGCTCCATGGATTACTGGCCTTTAGTATGGAGGTTTGACTGGCTCAAGCATGAAGACCATGAAGTGGCATGACTATATGCTTCTTGCCCATTTCCCTCCTGCTACTTTTCTCTGTCTTTGGTTTTCATATTTGGGTTCTATCATGTATAGATTCTTCTGTGTAACTACTTTTTTTAAAAAAAGTCTTTGTCTGAAATGTCTGTATCTGGAAAATAAACCTCTCTTTAGAATGAGATTGTGGTTCCCTGCTGCATTATTTTTAAACCTTCAGTACAGCTGGAAAACTCTTCCAGAGTATATTTGCGAGAGAGGGGCTGAAACTGTTCTTTGCAGAAGCTAATACTGGATGTGGAAATCCACAATCCAGAAGAACAGAATGTGGAAAGAAAAGTGATAGCTAGCTGATATGCCTCACTGACTGAAATGAGGAATCAGTGGGCAAATATCCTATTTGCCTTGAGTCTCTGGGCAATAGAATAAATTGTGCCCTTTTGTTACTTGGGGTCATGGGAACCAGAGCAATATGGAATAATGCAGGGCAATCATATGAGTTGGTGCAAGGCTAGTGTTGAAGTTGTAACACATAAATTAATAATATGCATGTCAGCAGAGAAGCAAAGAAGGGATGCATATCAAGTAACTTAAACGTGATTGTATTTTTAATGCTTTAAACAACTTTTTCCAGATGAAAGCCTATATATTTGGGGGGGGGGGGAGGGGGTTCTACTTTCTGAGACATGATCCTGCATCCTGCAATGCATACAAAGTTGAGACAAGTGCATAGCTCCTGGCTATCAAAGGTACCACCCAACCGTGTTGAGTTCTCTGAATGAATGCTATATTTTCATTTAGGCTGAGGGGTATATTTTGTTTCTATTCATATCAAGTCCTTGGCTGCATGGAGTTACAAATATCGCACAGTGTGAGATGAATGTTAGGAGACAGTCCTTTCTGTCTTCTAATGGGGTACCTTCCCACAAACTTGTGATTGGGAGACAACAGTCAAACTAACAAGTGATAGTGGGACGCTGTTAGAAGTAGCACATGGGCTTTTGATTCATGCTTAAGAGAAGCAGGAAGCAGTTCTTCAATTCTTGCATAAAATCACAAACAATTGGTGACTTTAGGCAAGTCACTGTCACTCTGTCTCAGACAGTTGCAAAAAGACTATCATGGGGTCAATCAAATTTCAGAAAATGTCATTTTTAAAAAATATTAGTCATAGTTTTGGTTCACATGCTACTGTGAAAGTTTGCTTGGAAATGATGATCATGTCATAGAGTGTTCTGTGAATCCACCCCATTGCTTTCTGAATATAACCATCAAAGTTTGAAGAAGGTGTCTCTCTAGTGAAGGGTAGACAGCTCTTCCCAACCTCCAAAATAGATTTGATAAAGCATGCTTCTGGAAATTCAAGCACAGCCTTAGGGGGTATTAGGCAACCCTGGTGCAAACCCATAGGCTATTAGCCTATTCTCTGTGATCCTCTACTAAAAAGATTGAAAATTATCCTATAGAACTAAAGGGACTAACTTTACTAGAAAGAATACTTTTAACCAGATATTTAAAACATACTGTCAAGCTTCCATATGACTGAATAAAAGAAAAAGAGAAGGCATTATCCAGTGTTCTCTATTCCAAAGGAAACTAAACCAGTGCCTCTAGAACTTCTTACCACCCAGAGAAGAGTGAGTACATTAAGATATGTCTTCATCTGCTCTTAAAATGATCTAATCCTCTGTTTGAGATTCTCTGGCACCATGGTAATATATCAGAGAGATTGTGAGAAGGCTGGGAAAGTTACAGGAAGAATGTTAGACATAAAAGCCAACAGATGGGAGATGAGATTGTCAGGATCTTATCTCATGAACAGCAGCTCGGTCCAGGCTGCAAAAAGCTGGGGAAGAAGATTCAAAATGTTCAAAGAGATTCATCTTAATGGATTTACTTATAAATGACAGCTGGAGGTTCCTACTGCAGTTTCTAAGGTTCTGTACTTTATCCTTAATTCTTGCATTAAAACTATTGAATTCTGAGATTTTTGCATCCTGGTTGTGCCTTAACAATATCCTCGTTCAGGCCCAATTCTGTTTCAGCCTGAACCCCAGAACTTGACCTCAAATAATGCAACTTGAGCCAGTCTATCCAATGTGTCACTTTTATTTTGCCTGGGCTATAAAACATCTTTATCATAATTACATCATAAAGCAGTGACTTGGATGGAGGAGCCTAAAGAATGATGGAATGTTAAGGATAAAAGATATGGAATTAAGTGGTATGAGAAGAATAACTATAGGTAGACAATAAATAAGGTTACATTAAGCATTCCTGGCTCCAGGGCTCAAAATAGGGGCAGCAAACTCCTCCCCAGGCAATGTGTAGAGTAAAGCAACCAGCTAATATATTATCTGAGAGAAAAGTAAATAAAGTTCATTGTAGAATACTTGGTGTGATAAACCACTTGAAGACATATCTGAGGACAAACTATAATTGGATATGTCTGAGGTCCTTGTGGGTAGACATGAGGATAAAATGGAAGATAAGTTGGGGGAGGGGAAATAAGGGATGCATTTAGGTATTTCTTGAGGGCCTTTAATTTAGGTAGAATGAGTAGGAACTGCCACCATGCTGATGTCATACCCTGAAGCAGTCACAGAAATGGACCCCTGAGTTTGGGGGAAGGTATCAAAGAGTATTAGAAGAATTGACCTGTGTGGATTCTTTCCCTGAGCTTCTCCTTAGGGAGGTAAATATAGTGTGAATCAATATCTGCATAGAACAAAAATTTTAGCTGTAGTACTCAAAGATACGTCGGAAAAGCCTCTCCAAATTCACCCTTCTCCTCACATGGCATCTTCAGTTCCAAATTTTCAGGAAACTGTCCCAAGAGCCAGTAGATACAGCCATGCCATCTGCAGTTACTCCCAAACAGCTCACCCTATTGTCATGTCCAGACAGGATGCCTGTAGATTTAAATAATAATAATAATAATAATAATAATAACAACAAAACCAACAACAATAATACAATCAGTCAATTGCAAAAGGCAGCTTTACTTGGAACAGGTTACATCCTGCGGTGATACCTTTAACACCATCAAACAACAACATCTGCCTGTCCCAGGTCCTTGGGAAGGACTTGCTAGGTGGATAAA